GGGCGGAGCGTGGCGGTGGAGCCCGGAGGGAGTGCGGGGCTCTTCACTTCTGGGTCATCTCGTCTGGTAGTGACGTCAGGGTGGTGCGTGGTTTACCTGCATCGCGCGCTTCACCCGAGCCTTGTGTCATGTGCGTCACGCGTGGCGGGGCCGAGCAGAAGCCTCCCGCCGGGTTTGTCTGTCTCACCGGTGACAGCTCGTGTCGCAGCGGCGGTTTTTGAGGGGCTCCAGACGCGCGAGGTTGAGACCCACGGCCCCGAGTCCGCTCCAGCCGCTGTGGAGCCGGGGGCTCCGCGGTCCCTTGGAGTCTGTCCCCGGAGGTTTCTGGAAGGCCGGCGTGCCGCAACCACTCACACGTGCCCGCGTGTATCAGTTATGGATCGCTCTGTGTCGACTACGCTAGGAAAGTAAACACGCATGACTGTGACATTTTAAAAACCCACTGGACTACTGTATAAATCAGATTCAGCGTTTAATATTTATTTTAATGAAGGCCCTATCATTTATCGCTCGGGTGACTGCCAGCGGACTCCCGAGACTAAGTTCCTGAAGACTGGAGGGTTGGCAGCCCTGGCCCTGCAGCAGCAACTTCACCAGCCTCCTGTCCCTACAGCACTGGCCCTTTCCCAACTATGCAGTTGGTCCTATCGGAGACATGGTCTGTGCTGTCAGAAGGTGCCTGTGAGGGCACACTTGCCCAACCCCCTCCACTTCAAGCCTCCAGTAGGTTTTGGGCATAGGCAATTGGTGCTACCTGAGTTGTGGGGGCACGTATCCCCCACAACGGCCAGTTAGTAACCAGCCGATCGTGCCACCCAGGAATTGCGAGTGGTGCCCCCAGAAGTGGCCGCAGTGCTCCCAGAAGTACTAGCAGCGCTTCAGTGCCCCCACGCCTTGGCCAGCACTCCTGGGGGGGGCACTGGTGCTCCTGTCTGCCCCTCCTGCCTGTCGCCTAAGGGGGGAACACTGCTGGTTAGGGGGTGCACCAACGCTCTTGGGGTATACATGCACCCCCATGCATCCCATACATGTCACCACTGGTTTTGCTCAGATTTGAAGGCCTATTTTTGTTACTAGAGAATACAGGCAAGGTTCATATAACTAAGAAAAGTTGTCCTGCTTGGGGTAGAAGTCCTGGAACTTCATGGCCTATGAAAAGAAGCTGTGCATACTCAGGTGCAAAACTGCCGCAAGACTATAGGCATCTGTTCAAATATTGCCAAGGACGTACCAAAGATGGGTTACAAGCAGCAGTGCAGGGTGATGAGACAGGAATGCAGCCTTCCGATCAAAAGGCTGCTCTCTCCATTTGTGTTATTACATGAGTAGGGATATCACAATGGATGGTGACCTCAGCCTGCAATATCTATGGACATCTCAGAACGTGGGGAGGAAGAATCTGCAACCTATGAAGTGCAGACCACAGTCAATTTAGTGCAGGGAGGAAATCACAGGGTACAGTCCGCTTAGACTTAGGAGCTCTTTGCAAGCCAACTAAATGTGAACCAGATGAACCAAGTGACAGAATCCACTGAGGAAGGAAATGGGAGCACAAATAAGGGTATCACTGCACACATTTTTTAACTTTGTTATCAGGCATGCACATTTTTCTAACGAGTATTTCTAATGGAGCTATGCTTATTTGCTGAAAAATTTCCTCTGGAAGATTTTAACCCCTGGGGGCTGGAACCTGATTGGATGTCTCCCTAGTTCACAAAAGTGGGAGGATAGCCATCTTTGCTGCATTGTCTCACTGTGCCATGCTCTGCCTTTTGTGCCTGTGGAGAAGCCTATCCTTAGGGTCCGAGATCCACAAAAGGGAGGAAGCAAAGACTGGGTTGGGCTGTCTTTAGTGTGGGTCAGGTCAGCTAAAAGTAGCAGAGGTTAGAGAAGGCTCTGCAGAGCTTCTCTAAATAAGATCAATGCAGCACCATGCTTCTTAGGACTCAGTAGGCATATCTACACATGCACATTACTGCGCAGTAACTGAAATTACTGCACAGTATGGGCATGTGTCTACACATCAAGGCCCATACTATGCAGTAAATATGATGAATTACACCAACTTGCAGATATCTGATAGCTGCATCATGCAGGTATCAAATTTACATCTGATTAGTTACTGTGCAGTAACACACATGTAGACAGACACCTTACTGCACAGTAACACTATGTGTGGACTTACTTGGGAATGACTTTAGTCCCAAGTCAGTCCACACATAGCATTAATATGCTTTAATGCTTACACATGTAGATGCCAGCCTATTCCCACTTACTGTGCAGTAATTTACTGTGCAGTAAATTTAAGCCAGCATAAATGCACTTGTAGATGCATCCAGTGATGTCCAAAGGCAAAGAGGAATTGACAGGCACTAGCATTGCAGCTACCTCAGAACAGTATCTAGTACTTTGGTTCCTGCAGAGGGAGCTGTTTTCAAGAGTACTGAGATCACTGAGTACTAACAGAAGCAGAGAAGGAAATGTTCCAACAGAAAAAAAATGGAATTCGATTTGCATCCAAATTGAGATAGCAGTGATCCGAGAGATCTTCCTGCTTCCTCAGTTAAAATGCTTTGTGGCACTGCAGACTCATCTGCACCATTCCCCACGCTGCAGGCATTCCTTATGCTGCTGCCTTGCAGTGTCGGGGGTGAGGAGGGTTTAGCCCTGGGAGATCCTGGGATTAAAAAAACCCGCACCAAGCAAAAGTGGGGTGGCACACGTGGCGGCAACAGGCACTACCCAAAACGAGCCTGGTTGACCAGAGCCATGCTCTGGCTGCAGGAGTGCTGTGGCTGTAGTTCCCCAAGGTCCCCAGGATGCCAGGTAAGGCTTCTGGGACCAGTACAGTTGCTAGCCCCAGCCTCCTCTACCCCACCCAGGGTAACCTGCCACACAACAGGGGACATGTGGCATGGGTGTTCCCCAGGGACAAGTAGCAGTGGCTCAGGTGTGCCACTTCTACTTGTCCCTGGGGAAACAAATATCTGTGCTCATGTGGACTCAGCGTAATGGAGCAATGGCTTGACCTTGAAATCATGCTAGAGAACTTCATCCCTGTGTGTGCAGGAGTGTAAAGTAAGCGCTGTATACAATCTGTGAAACACAATGGGACACATTCAGATGGACCTTAGTGCAGTATCATTAGTATGTATAGACTGCCATTTTCTCATCCATTTGGACATTCAGGTGTCTGACATTTTATCCTCACCAAGCATCATTTCTTAGTGTTACAGAATGGGTAGATTCAGCCTGTGTTTTTACCATTGGTAGCGATAGAAAAACATAGGTCTGACCACTTAATAGTGGGCATTTTACAGTTTTATTGTCCACATCTAAAATAAACACTTGTATCATCTATGCTATATGCTTACATGATTCCCACTGAAACTTAGTATCAAGTCAATCCAAAGTTTTCTTTGAAAATGGTGCAGCTATGAATGGGCAAGAGAGCTATTTTTAATTGAAACAGCCACTAGGGATTGAAATAGGGGATCAGATAATGAGTAGAAAGAGAGAGAGAACCAGTCTGTGGAGACAATATGGGGTAATATCATCCATCACAGGCTTTTACTGAACAGAATTGTCATTTTACTGAGAAATAGCCTGATAACCTTACTACATAGCAATTGGATAAGCAGCTAGATGCAGTGTAGTAACTTCTCTCAGGTTCTCATTTGCAAAATAGGACGATGCTTCTTTTTTCCCATCTCTGTATGTGTTCTCTATTTAGACCATTCTCTATTAGGGCTGTGTTTCTTAATATATGTGCACAGAGGTGGATCCAGAGGGGACACAGTGGTGCAGCTGCATCCCCCACTTTGGATTTGGACTTTTAAAGTCCCTAAAGCAGATTAAATCCTCCCTCCCTTCCTTTTCCCGGTCAAAGAGACACCCTCTCCTCTCCCCTTTCCCCTCCTTCACTTCTCCCTGACTTGTCTCACTGTCCCAGAGGAGGGAAGCTATTCCTGCCTACAACATTGAACCCTGGCCATTCCAAACTACACTGGAGATTAAAGGAATGATGATGATGATAATGATGGTGATGTGGTGTTATTCACTCTAACAAGGATCCACTTTATATCGTTCCAAAACAGTAATCAAGATATATATTCCTACAACACTTACGTGAAGCCTACACAATAAAAGATATAGTGATTGCATGCATACATGTAGCTGAACAATTTTGAGCTGCAATCAGCTGTCACTGCATTTGCAACTATTCTTGCAACCTTCTACCACAAAGGCAGTGCCTGGGGATGCTGCTCTGGATGCCTTCCCCTACCTTCCCCCTTCAGTTACATAATTGTTTTATGTGCTGTTACAATATAGATTGGGGCAGGCAATATTTTCAGCTGGAGTGCCAAAAATACCACAATGTCTATCTTGTAAGGTGCTGGAGTGTCAGCTTGCCAGAAAAACAAAACCAGGGTGGGGGTTAACATGGCAGGATACAGTGGATCTTAATATAGTTAATAATAATAATAAATGTTGCTGTTTTTTAGCGTAAATACTATGTTTTCTAAAAATTCTAAACCTGGTAAGA